TGAGTGGGGGGCGTGGGGGGATGGCAGAGAGCTCGGGGGGGGGGGGGCGGCGCCTGGTCTCCAAGGTCTCTGTCCCCCTCCAGGCTCAGTGCGATCTACGGGGGCACCTACATGCTCAACAAGCCCGTGGACGAGATCGTGATGGAGAATGGCCGGGTCGTGGGGGTCCGATCGGAAGGGGAGGTGAGTGGGGGGTGCAGCGGGGAGGCACCAGCCCAACACACACAGTGATTTTGGGGGGTTCCCCACTAGGCCGCCCGTTAAATCTGAAGGGGGGTTCTCTGGTTTCCATCAGTGCCTCCTGCCTGGGGTATCGGGGGGCTGGCTTGTCCGATAGGGGCTGGGTTTGGGGCGCCTCTTCCCTGGGGAGGGGGGCTCAGGCCCAACCCCCAGTGGCTGCCTCCAGTTCTCCTTCTCCTGGGGGAGGGGTTGCCTGTCCCCCCCGGCCCGGTTCCTGTCTCTGCTTTGGGGTACCCCTTGCGGGGGTCGCTTTACCCAGCAGGGAATCTGGGGGATGCCGGGGGGGAGGGGGAGTCGGGCTGGGGGGTTCCCCCCTCTCTCTCTGGGCTCAGGCCTGGGAGGGGCTGAATTCCTGTCCCCCCAGGTGGCGCGGTGCAAACAGCTGATCTGCGACCCCAGCTACGTGCCAGAGCGAGTCCACGGGGCCGGGCGGGTCGTCCGGGTCATCTGCATCCTGAGCCACCCCATCCACGGCACCAGCGAGGCCGGTTCCTGCCAGATCATCCTGCCACAGAACCAGCTGGGACGCAAGTCGGGTCAGTGCCAGGGGGGCTGGGCCTGTCCCTGGGAGCTCCCACCCCCTGCGGCATCACGTGGGGCAGAGCTGCAAGGGGGGGGGGTGCAGGCAGTTGGGGCATCCCACGGGGGCAGTGCTGGGGGGGGGCACCACACTGAGCACCCCGCAGGCCTGTACAGGCGACTCGGTCACTGCGGGGATGTCGCCAGCTGCATTTCCTTGTCTCCCTGGCCCCTCGTTAACTGGGCAGCCTCTGGGGGAAACTGAGGCACGCCCGCTATTTCTACGAAGCCTCACGACCCATCCCCCCCTCCCCAGATATCTACGTCTGTCTGGTTTCCTGGGCCCACAACGTGGCCGCGCCCGGGAAGTTCATCGCCATTGTCAGCACCACGGTGGAAACGTCGGAGCCAGAGCGGGAGGTGGAGCCGGCGCTGCAGCTGCTGGAGCCCATCGACCAGAAGTGAGGCCGGGGGGGTAGGGAGCCGGGTGAAGGGCTGGGAATTGTGGGGGGAATAGGGCAAGGAGGGAGCTGGGGAGCTTGGAACCCAGTGGGGGGTGGGGGGGTCTGACGGGGTCCCTGGGGTTCAGCCCCCCAAACCCACTAGCCTGGGGTGTCCCTCTATGGGCATCTCCCAGCCCCCGTCACGGCCCTGGGCTGGCCCACGGGACGATAACGCCCAGCAGACCCGGACTCGCCACACGCCCCGCCCCACGGCTTTGTACCAAACGCACGATCGGTGAATGAGGGGGGCCCCAGGGTGCTGCCTGAGGTGCAGAGCCCCCCGGGGGGGAAGGTCAGTGTGGGGGATGGGGAGATTCTGCTTCGCCAGGTGAGCTGGAAAGTGGGGGAGGGAGGAGCTAGGGGGGGTAAAGGCCTCTGGTGGGGACTGTGTGAGTGTGACTCACCCTCCCCCCTCTTCCCCGGCAGGTTTGTGGCCATCAGTGACTTGTACGAGCCCATGGACGATGGCACGGAGAGCCAGGTGAGCGCCCCTGCAGGGAATTCCCATCCCCCCCCTTGTGGGACGTCCCATCTTCCCCCCTCTGAGGGGGGCCGGGGGAGGGCGGCAAAATCTGCAGATGATACAAAACTACTCAAGAGAGTTAAGTCCCAGGCAGCCTGCGAAGAGCTACAAAAGGATCTCTCAAACCTGGGTGACTGGGCGACAAAAAGGCAGAGGAAATTCACTGTTGATAAATGCAAAGTGATGCACATTGGAAACATCATCCCAACTACACGTATAAAACGATGGGGGCTAAATTAGCTGTTACCGGAGACGGGGGGTTGGAGTCACTGTGGTTGGTTCTCTGAACACATCCACTCAATGTGCAGCGGCAGCCAAAAAACGACCAGAATGGTGGGAATCATTAGGAAAGGGAGAGATAATAAGACAGAAAATATCATGTTGCCTCTGTATAAATCCACGGCACATCCACATCTTGAATACTGTGTGCTGATGTGGTCACCCCATCTCAAAATTATATATTTGAATTGGAAAAGATACAGAAATGGACAACAAAAATAATTAGGGGTCTGGAACGGCTGCCGTACCAGGAGAGATTAATCAGACTGGGACTTTTCAGCTTGGAAAAGAGGCGACTAAGGGGGGATATGATAGAGGTCTATTAAATCATGACTGTTGTGGAGAAAGTAGATAAGGAAGTGTTATTTGCTTCTCCTAACACAAGAACTGGGGGTCACCAAATGTAATGAATAGGCAGCAGGTTTAAAACAAATAAAAGGAAGTATTTCTTCACACAACTTACAGTCAACCTGTGGAACTCCTCGCCAGAGGATGTTGTGAAGGCCAAGACCATAACAGGGTTCAAAAAAGAACTAGATAAATTCATGGAGGATAGGTCCATCAGTGGCTGTTAGCCAGGCTGGGCGGGGATGGTGCCCCTAACCTCTGTTTGCCAGGAGCTGAGAATGGGCGACAGGGGATGGATCACTTGGTGATTCTCTGTTCTGGTCATTCCCTCTGGGGCACCTGGCACTGGCCACTGGCAGCAGACAGGATACTGGGCTAGATGGACCCTTAGTCTGCCCCCACCTGGCTATTCTGATGCTGCATTAGGGGTGTCCCATGGGCTGGGGGGCAGGCTGGGGGTATCCTGGTGCTGATGGGGGATGGATGCGTGGTAGGTAGGGGGTGTCGCGGGGTG